AAAAAAAAAAAAAAACGAAAAAGGAAGAAATTGAGAGGATCAGCGAGGGGAAGAGTTGCTAATCACGAGGAGACACAAAAGGGGATAATGAAGTCGGAGACATTCACCAACCCGTAGCCTGCAAAAGGGAATAATTAATGGGATGTGCTAAAAAAAAAAAAAAAAAAAAAAAAAGAAGCCAAAGAATGGAAAAAAAAGGGGCGTCAGGCAAGCACAGTGGTATACAAGTTAGGGTTGGTGAAATGGAAAAGCGGTTGCCGTGCCATCGTCTCTTTATCCATTTTATATGACGACATGTTAGTCGCCCCCTTGCAGGGTCAGGTCAGTTAAGGGCGGCCTGCAAATTGATCGACAGGTTGTGGTGCAAAGACGACTGATAGCCGCCAAAGTCTCCCACCTTCTGATTTAATATAAGGGAGTAAATATCCTCCCAAACCTTTTTGTGTTTTTTCTTCCTCTTCTGCATGTGTTGCAAGCTGTTAACTTGCGTTTTTGAAAATTTATTTTTGTTCATCCAGTATTGCTTCATAGCTTTAGATATTTTTTCCCTCGTTTTATCTGAAATGGCAACTATCTTTTTGTTTTTATATCGTCGGATGAAGTACCTCCGTTGGCCATCTAGCGTTTTCTGTTTATAATTCATATCATTTTTCCATTTGTTTTTAACAGCTTCTGATATTTTCTTGTTGTGTTCAAGGCCCCTCTTCTTAAAAGACTTCATCATCCTTTTGCGAAATTCTGGATCCTTCCATTTGCTCCTCATAATGGCTCCAAGTTTTTCTCTCATGCTTCGTTTGGCCTCCTCGGACAAAACTCGTTTTTTCTTTTTTCTTCCTTCGGCGGGCTGGGCGGTGGGTTCGGAAGCGCATTTGGCTCCACTTTTCATGCAAACCTCTGGCGGAGACTTAATCCAATTAGCACACTCAGCTGTTCTCATGGCCGACCCGTAGGCTGCACTGCGCGGGGGACCACTTGCATCGTCTGTGCTCCGCTTGTCCAACACACTTGGTTTGTATAAATGTCCTCGCGAGGGGGGGGCATCCGAGATGGAAGCAATTGTAGAGGTGGGCTCCACTGCAGGGGAAGACACAAGCGCGGTGCCGCCCCGTGGCAATGCAGACAAAGCGAAGCCACGTCTTCGAATATTCCCACATTCGGTTTGCCTCTTTCCTGTAATCGCTTCGCCCCAAGGGGAGGCATTTTTACACCTGACCAAGTCAGGCGACAATGACTCCACCTTTTCGTATTCCACAAAGTTGCTACCTTCCGACGTGCAATTCTCATGGGTACTGCTCATCCTGCGCTCATAATTTCCGAAGAACCCATCAATTTTGTTAAACAAAAAGGAACACCTGCTGGCACTCTGCACGGATAAACTCAGTGTAACTCGGCTTCTCTTTTGTAACGAGGTGAATCCACTTTTGTGAAAATCTTTATTCCACATGTCCCTTGAAGGACGCCCAGGAGGTTGCATTGTGGATGAGTGTCCCGCATTGTTCACATAATTTGGCTTCCTACTTTCCGTAAAATTAATGAATTTAAAAGATCCATTCCGTGTTTTTAATTTACAGTTGCATGTACAGGGATGATTAGGGTTCATGTTTCTGTTCCTCCAGTTATTTTCCGCGCCCCTTAAGGTAGTTCCCTCCAAAGGTCGGTTGCTTTTTCTTGCTTGGATGTTAAGAACAGTAAATAGTAACAGAGCACAGAATGCAATTTTGCCGTTTCCTTTCATGTGCATGTGCGGACCAGGGGGAGACGAAGCAAAGGGGGCGTGCGCCCGAGCTACATCACGGTGAGGGAGTGCGGATAAGCTGGTAAGCAGCTACAAGCGGTTAAACTGGTGAGCGGCGGGACGGAAAAGTTGCAACTCTCATCGCACACTACACCCAGACATGGCTTATGCCATCGTGTGGTAGCTGCCAACCGTATATCCATACCATGCACCCCCTCGTTTTTGCTTCGTACAAATGAGTTGCACGCCGCTACCCCCCGGGCTGTCCTACTGTGATCGTTGCGCTAGAACTAATCTTTCATATGTGCACATATATATGTGGCCATTTATTACACACATTTCTACACGCAGAAGTACTGGTTCTTTTCTACTAACCCCGTCCCTGTGTCTCCCTGGGTGTGTATGCTAAAGCTGGGTTGCAAACCTCCGCCTGTGCATTCATGCGTCTCCCTGCTCCCGAGTTTCTCCCCCTTTTCCAAATGGGTCAGCACGTAGGCTTACACGCATGCGTATGTATGCGCACGTGTGTGTGTCCTGGAAGGAAGGCTTCTCGATCAGCTACACACTTAATTACACAAGCGGCTGCTAGTATTCCCCTCCACGGGTGCAACAAATGTGGCCCACTTAACACTTCTTCATTAATCAATTCAGTCAGTGCGTGCACAGAATTGAGCAATCTGTTCCCAGAACAAAAAAAAAAAAAAAAAAAAAAAAAAAAAAAAAAAGTGTC